TCGCATATCAACATTAGCGGTGGTCCTTTTCTGGACTAAGCGTTTTAGGGGCATTTTAAAAATTCTATAAAATTTATTTTATAATTTTAAGGCTAATTTTTTTGTCGTGTACGAGCATTATATTGTACTGTAATGAAGAGGTAGACATTACCTTATTTTATTAATACTACTGCGGGTGGCCGGTAAGTTAAGCGCAGACTATTAAAAAAAAAAAAGGATAACTTGTTGCTAACGTCGAATTTGCACCGTGGAGACAAAAAAATTACCTCCAACAGATTCTTGTAGCCAAAGTTTCTAAAGTTACAACATCCAACATTGTCTACTAAAATAATGTTATAATAGACTATTCAAAATAGTTAAAAACTTTATACTGCATTTTTTACTTAGGTTATAAATGCTACAAATATTAACGCCTTATTGTTAACTCCAACTTAGGGGTAAAAAATAAATAAAAAGTGTGGTTAATCATATAACTAATTATAAAGAAAATGTAAGATAAATAGTTAAAAAACCAAGATGGAAAAAACGTAGAGTTGTGTCTTTTATTCACCTTCTTGATTTTCATTCTTATTTTCGTCTTTGCTACTGAATGCATGCCATTTTCGAACTCATTCTTTGTAATATAGTAAACAATTTAATTTTTTAAGAGAAAAGCACAAGCTATATTGATTATGGCGATGTTAGGTTCCAAGCTCAAAACAACGCGCAGAATTATCTTAATTTTATAAAGCATTTCACTCTATTGAGGTAGCAGAATGGATCAAGTATGGACACAGATTTGTAGTAAAAAGAAAAAAAAGAGGGCACCATTGGAACGCCGTACAACAGACATAAATACTTAATTTTCTCAGCATTTCTTTTAAAATAAAAAGTGTAGTAGATATTAGACTTTAGAAGCTATGACATTTTTTGCTACCCGTTATCCTGCGAGGGGATCAGTAGAAATTTTAATAGTAAAAAATTCCTTATAAGGTTAAAATAAATGAACAAGACATTATTTATCAAGCTACATGACCTTACATCATACAATCTAGTTGACCCGAATACATTTTGATTAGTCATGTGTGTTAATTTATTTTTTGGTGGATCTATATAAAAAAATTTTATGGTTAATAAAGCGGAGGGTTTTTCTTAGCTCTGATTTTTTCCTGTGGTTGTTCCTGGGCATTTTAATCTTGCTTGTTTATTATCTAGGGCCTGGCAATTCAAAGGAGGATCGCATGGGTTCGGTTTAAGAAAACCTCGCAGATATTGGTTTAAAGAAGAATCTTGTAGGCAGACTTTAGTTAAAACCCCAAAAATCTTTCAACATTAATTTCAATTTAATTTGATATAGACTTCATAGTTAAATAACTCTAACCCCATGGGTTAAATATACTTCAGGCTTCAAAAATAATGCGAACGTCTCTTTAAGTGACGGCTTTAAAGTCCTATAAAAAATATAAACAATAAAAATTAGCATCTAAAAAAAGTAAACAATTAAATAAAAATATATTCACAAATAAAACAGAATTGAAGCGTTAAAACAAAAAGTTAAAGTAAACTTAAATTTCACATAAAAATATCTCGTTAACTAGCTTTTTATTTAATTATACCCTAATGCATATTAATAACTGTAAAAAAAAAAATTCCTTATATATATTTTTTATATTGTAAAGATTATAAATTCCTTTCTCTTTTACTATACTTTATGCGTATTTATTTTTTATTTAATAAATATTACTTTTTCTCTTTTTCCTTAATCATACTTTTTATATATATTTACTAAGTAATTACTTTTATATATTACTATTATATAATATTATTATTAAATTTAATTTTGATATTTACATTTTTTCATTTGTTTATATTAACATTTTATAAGCACGCGTGGCGGTGCACGTAAATCTCTATGGCGGATCGAACTTTTTATCGTTTACTTTGCATTGGATGCAAACTATTGTGGTACGTATGCATTATAATCCGGCCAATCATAACATTCGCATCTGCTGTCTAACCCAATAGCCTCTTCTCTGCACGTGAACCAAAACAAGCTTGCCATGCCTGATGACAGACGTGCCGTGAATTATTCGAACCGATGCTTCACATCATTGCTTATTCTCAATGAACGGTTTATTGCTTTCTTGGAACACCAATCAAAAAATCGCAAAAAAAGCTAATGTACCATTTATTGGATAGCGCTCTATAGATGCCTAGAATTTTTTTTTGTGGTTGTAGGTATAATAAAGGAGGGCGAGAGGTAACAAGATATATAAATATAATGTAAAGTAAGATATGTTATAATTTTGTTATCAAAATTTTTATGATAAAGTTAATATAATAAAACCTAATATCTTTATAACACCTCGAAAGGAATGATCAACTAGTCTGGGTAAGAACACTATTCTTCCCCTCCAAAGGGGGTATTTTGTGTAATAAAGCCCTCCAAAAGCATGTATAAAAGAATGGAAACTTTTTTTCCAGATGCTTGTGCATGTGCCAGCGTTTTGTCTTTTTAACATCAACGCTGGTGTTGCGCTGGCATTCTTCATTGCCATGTGTCCACAGCGATCTAAGATATTAGTTGGTCTTAATTTAAAGTTGGGTAAGTCGAAAGACCAGAGTTATACCTCGGCTAAGGTGGTTGGGCTCTGACGGGGAGACTTGACTGATGGCTATTCTCGGTGCTTCCCTGCATTTTGTACACTAATAAAGTAGCGATCCAACACAATGTTGCAGGTTACTACCGTTAAGCGACCGAAAAAGATCGGCCCTAAGGTGAAGTTAGTCATTAAACTCTACCTGTAGTACCGATGTGACTTCAAACTTCACCTATGAAGTTGTACGTGTTGGAGGTCATCCAGGGAAGAATTGCAAGTTAAATGTAGTCACTATTTTGAAAGGTGCTGGTGGACAACCCTTATTTCCGAACTGCTTGACTTGGGTTGAGCTGAAATTATACAGTTGGCTCTCGTAATTAATAATTCTCTCTTCAATTAAATGATCAAACACATAAGGCATGAATATTGTTATCGTGCTTGTAAGGGAAAGTGATTAGGGTTACCGTGCACTTTGTCCTAAGGTGGAATGGACTAATCTAAAGACAAAAGCCGGCTAGGTTCGGTAGACTTGCTCTTGCAAATGGGAAAATAGATAAGTCACTTGTGATCTTTAAAAGGTCCCATTGGTTTGAGTTCATTAAGGATTATGGCGAACCGTGTTATGCTAGAAAATGGTCTGCACCTTAGCTGTTAGCTTACGAATATTCCTTCGATAATAGAATCAGTGTTGGTATACTAGGATTACGCCTACTGAAAACCGTTTTCTTCTTTAGACAAGTGTGTAGGTAAGCCCTTTGACTTTGTGTAATTTAAAACTAAGGGATAGAAATGCCTGCATCTGGGGTGGATAGGTGCGTTCGAAAGCCTGTGGAGTTTCCTTGAACTTTATCTTTGTCTTGTTACGTTCGGAACTTTAAATGTTGCTATCACGAGTAAAATAAGATAAGACTATTTGCATCGATTCTAGATGCCTTAGGATTAGCTTGAAAATGGTTCTGAAATAGTATTTTATTCTAGTATTCATGCCAAATTTGCATTTTTATCAAAGTGAGAAACTTATTAATTAAATCATAACATTTTTAATTAGGTTGGCTCGGTTTGGCTTACTTTGCGCTACATAGAGCTGAATCCCTTGCATTGTTTGTTGTGGCCCGCTAAAGAGTGCTTACTTCTCATAAAAGGTAGCGTTCTAGAATAGCATTAGGAAATTACAGTATAAGAATAGTATTATTTACTAGTGTATTCCATATTAACGTGTCCGATCTCGGCCTGATATGCCTCTGCAAAACCCCTCAGTCTTTTGGACCAAGTTAATCCTTTGGGAGAAGGCACTGATGGGTACTAATTCTTTAACTTCTTCGAGCAGGGAGATATACATAGGATTGTTTAAAGTGCTTCTAAATTTTGGTAGTGGTATGCTAATGTTAAGAAAAGATAAAACATCCTTGAAAGGGCAAGCTGTTTAGTGTCCTTCGGTTATATGTTGAATGAGAATTATGGTGTCCGTTGTTTTATTAGTTTAAAACATAATTCTTGACCTAACACATAGTAAAATACGAAACCAGTCCTTTACTACTAAAATGTTCGCCTTACACTCCCTTGGGAAGTTATTTCTTTTTAACAATACAACTTGTGACTTTTATACTACACTTTAAAATCATGACCAGCATGGTCGCAGAAATATAAGTATTGTCAACGTGGGAACATATAATGTGCTGCCGGGAAGAGCGAGGATAAGTAAACCGTTGTCTTACTGGCCGACTGGAATTGAGATTAATGAAAAGTAACTCTTTCATCTATTAGGGTATTAAAGTTTATTAATAAGTTGGGCCTATGTGGCCGCTAAAAAAGCCGATCCAAAAGTTTATTGCCATTTTCATACTTGTGTGTTAACAGAAAGTTACCGAACTTTCGTAATGAACCTTAGCATGTGCTTCGATTTTAGGGTATAAATAGCTTCTGCGAAAGGCCCCTCAAGAAATTTTTCTGGCGGGAGGGGATAGGTTTTATTGTGATAGCCGATTCGGTGTGTGTTCGTTTGTATCTAGCGAGCAACGCAATTAATCTGTTAATAAATAATCCTTATAGTTCTTTGCTGCCTTTATAGGCGCTATAGTTAGTTACTATGCGAGAAGAGTGTGAATTTTAGAACAGATTTAAAAAAGTAAAATTATTATAAGAAAGCTTGTTCTGACACTATATTAAATAAGAGAGCTGTGTATGAAATTGTGTCATTGTCTTCCTTTAGCAGCCAGTTAGTGCATAAATCATTTGCAGTTTTTCACCAACAAGAAATTCCTTATAAGTACATCGGTGGTTGTTAGAGGAAAACTTATTTTATTAATGGACAAGTGAGCAACAATAAATAGTATGATCGAGAGAGTAATTTTACTGTAACAATTAAAGTCTTTAAGTGGATCTAAATTTATCAAGGAATTACTTACATATACTTTAAAGATTTCCTAAAAAAAAAGTGTCATGTTCAATTTCTTTAATTTTATTAACCCGCAAATCTCTGTTGCGTAACCTCAACTTTCTAAAAAATCAAAAATGGAGTAAATATTCACCAAATAAATATGAATAATAATACTTTACAAATAAGTCAGTGCGTTGAGTTTGCTAAAGAGGTTAAAACAAAATGGATCTGAATTTTAACATATCTGTATGCCATATATCAAAAATAAGAAAAAATATTTCCATTTTATGCAATTACTGTTTTGTACAATTATTATAAAAAAAATTCTTAAATGACGAAAGGGGAATACTCTGTAGGATTTGTAGCCTATAAAAGTGTGTCATAGAAGTGTAGATCCGAGAGGAAGACGCGCACGTGAGTATAGGTTTCAACTTGCATTCATACAAAAGCGGTTTATAGTACCAAAATTTAATTTATTTCTTTCCATAGTTAGTAGGAGGTGTAAGCGTAACTAGTGAAGAGCCAAATTGAATTTATTATAGAAAAGTAAAATCTCGACACTCATAATTTATTACGCAAAGCTGCGTATAACTTCAATATATTAAAAAATAATGTTTCTCAAACGTTTATATAAAATTAATTATTTAAAAATTAGATGTTAAAAATTTCTTGTTATTTTTGTTACCTTTTAAAAGCTTTTATTGTTAATGAAAATAGACTTATATAAGACTAGATTAGTAAATTACTAGGATTTCTTTTTCTCAGTGTCGACAAAATCCTCTACAACAGCTAAAGGATCTTCAGAAACACTTAATATTTTATTTTTAAGTATTAGATCTTTTAAATAATCTAACTGAACGTAATAATTTTGACCAGTGGTAGTACTGAAAGTCACGAAAGGACGGGGCTTCGCTTTAATAACCTTCAAAAGATAATAAAAATAGTAGTGCACACGTTTTAATAAAATTAAATATTTTATAAGTAGACAACCTCGTTATTGTAAAATTTATGGTACTGTTTCAAACCAAAAATGTTCAATTTTTCCGCGATATAGGCATTAGACTCGCTTTTGAAAAGCTTGTGGACAAATGAATTGGTGCAAAAGTGAAGTAAACTTTATATCAAAAAAGAAAGAAAGCTCGTATTATTAAGGGATTTAATTAGTATAATGTGTATATGCTAACAAATTATTAAAGGGAACCTTGTGGTGCCTATCCCCGTAAAAAGGAGCATTACTGCTATTATATATTTCCCTCCACTAGCTTTAGTAAATATGTAAATAACTTGGAGCTTAATAACTGTAAGATCCCAACCTAAGCTTGAATCAAAGAAAAACATTAATGGAGTAGCAGAAATGCTGCAAGCACCTATAGAAAAAAAAGATGATCGTCTGTAGAAATAATCAGATACATTGTAAAGATTATTTATAAAGATATTTGCAATATTAAAACTTACAGCTAGTTAAAGAAAAAAATTTTAAATTTCGTACTTTCTTAGAGAGATTGTTCGTGTAAACTAGCAAATGATTACTAGTATGCAAATTCCCTTAGATTAAATTTACTACTAATTATTATAGTCGCGAATTTAAAATATAACTTAGTAAAGAAGCTGCTAACGCGGCGGCGCGGATCTTAGTAACGTGGTTCATCCCTGACTCTACAACGTATCTAAGAACTACTCCGCTTATGCGCTCGTATAACGTAAAAGACAAAAATCAGTCTAAAACCATGTGGAGTAATGCCGTTTTTTATAATTTCTTACCTAAATATTTTCAAGTGTTTCTGTACGTACTTATATATAATATGGACTACTAAGCTATTACTAAAACATTATCAGAAAGTAAAGAATTTCCCTAAACTTTACAACGACGTGTAGTTAATAGAAAACACTATATTCTAGCTGAAATCACCATCTCTATATACTTAGGTTATACCTCAAAAACAATATGCCATCCTACTAACTATTATTTTTTGCAGCTTTCTCATCGTGTGCACATACATTCGTTTTAGTAATATAAATATTAAAAAAAGGTCTTTATGAATTACCGCTGTCGAGGGCGAAAGTACTTCCCATGTTGGTCAAAATAGTAATTTACACATTAATACATTTCTTTATATTAAAAAAGTTCAGCTCACGATGTAATTAACCGTTACATAGAAATCAACAAGTGTTTGCAGACATACAAGGCAATTAATTTTTTAATAAATCAGCAGTCTTTAAAGTGACAATTAATCCCATGAAAATGAACTATTTACCAGTATTAAATGAGAACACATAAAAAAGAATTCTATATTTTAACTGAGATACCTTTTTCTGAATAGGGATCTATATAGTGGCTTTAATACTTTTATCCATTTTATTTTAGTATCTAAAACTTGTTAAAATAATCCTTGATGTATTAAAAATATCTTTATCAATTAAATTATTTCTAACAACTATTTCTAATCAATTAATTACTAAAATGATCATCCAATAGATGTTCAATGCCCCTTTTTTTTTAACTTTCTAGCAATGCAGACCCAGATTATAAAACCACTACAATTAACTAGACCGGGGCCCAAAACCGAACAAAACAACAAACGAACAAACATAACTAGAAAGCAAGAGAGCTTTTTTTCTCAGGGACTGGAATACTACATAGGTCTTCGTAAGAGGCCTTAAGCCGCATAATCTGAATTTCCCTCTGCTGCAAGGTTAAGGTAGGAGTGTCCACCAGTGAGCTCTAAGGACTAGACAGGAGGACTGGGAATGCGGAAAATATAGGCCCAGTCCCCCCAACTATGGTCTGAAGAACTTAAAATAAAGTAATATCGTACTCGGTCTTCTCTTTTATACTACAAAAAAGAGAAAAAATTTTTATATAATTTAAACAAACGTTGATCTCTTTAGTTGCTCTTTTATTTTAAACTTTTTGAGGGCCAATAAATTAATTTTAATTTATATTTAAGACAAAACTCTGTAGTACCAACGAATAACATAGCTAAAAAGCCAATTCATTAAAGATGCGCTAATTATAAAAAATTATATTAGGATACAAATATTTTCTAATCCAAGCAATGGGCTAGTTTATATACAATGAAATTAAACAGTAACAATCAAAAAATCGTTGAAAAATTACTTTTAAATATACTAAATAAAATTTCTGTTAAAATCCTTTAAAACTAACTAGTAACAAAATGAAAAGTTATTATTAAGGGTCGGAATGCCCACCTCTAATAACAAAATATCGATTTAATATCTAATAAAACTTCAAAGCATATTATTAGAAGTAATCCCATTTAATATAATTTAAAAAGTATATCTTTTTAAATCGAGGGATCCAAATTTATATATCTTGCCCTCGCTGCTCTCAGCAGATTACTTTTAAAACTGACCCAAAAAATGCTGATTACGTGATTGAACATGGAGCTACTAGTTAATTTTGAAATTTTATTGTTAAAAAACTTTGCGTCTATTAATTTATTATAGGAAACTTTGAGCTATGGAAACAAGAAAATGAGAAGGAAGAAAAAATTAAAAGTAAAAAAGAACAGGAAGGAATGGTTTATTTTATTATTGCATTTAATTAATTTAATGTGACCTTTTTTTTTTAAAATTAGGGAAATGCTATGAAAGTTCTTGAAAACAGAACTAAAGAATCTAAACGTGACATGGAAATTTTGGACGCGTTGGAAGACATTAAAGAAATTAATTATCGCAACGAACAATTTTCTATAGATGCGATTTTAAATTTTCATAAAGAGGCATCACATAAAACAGTCCGGGTGCGTTCGCATTTTTTTTTGTTAATAATAATGTCAATAGTAATTCCTTTATTTTGTAAGGAGGAGCGAATGACGGAAGAAGAAGAAGATGAAGCTTTAGTTCAAAAGGTTTTTGGGAAGGAGACACTGAAGATTAAGAGAATAAAAGTTATTGTATATATATATACTTTTCTTCGTTGTAACGTATTTTTTGCAAGGATGATGATGAAGATAATGATAACATTTACTTTTATAAAACTTCTAATAAAAATAATAATAACAACTTGAAAGTGAAAAAAAAATTGGATAGAGTAGTTTACAGCTTAGTAAAATTAAAGAAACAGCCAACATCTGCTTTAGCAGGGTTGGGCTTGGATAAATACTCCAGCGGAAGTGATTCGGAAGGCTAAAAAAAACTGCGCGCTATGAAATTTTAAACTTTTTACTCGCGCTTTTAGTGCAGGGAGTAGATGCGTATTGAAAACTACAGACTTTGCTTTTGTTTTTTAAAATTTTTTAATAAAAAAAGTTGTTGCACAAAAATATATTTGTAAAATATTCTAATTTGTTCTTATCGATTATTTATATAACAATACTGATTTTTATACTTATGGAGCTAAATTGTTTAATAAGAGTTGGATCCACGTTTAAAAGCTAATTGTAACGTAATTTTGTAGATTTTATAAGTACCTGTTAAAAATTATAAAAAAGTTTATATTAATTAATAAATTCATGTATAAAGAATGGAGCAGAACTGTTCATTAAGGCTGCAATTCACACCTAAAAGTTAATTGTTAAACAATTTGTATAAATTCTTGTATTTACCTGATAATTAAAATTTAACAGAGAAGGAAGGAAAATTGTTATTAGTATTTTTTAGTAGCAACGTATAGGAATAACTACTTAAAATAAATATTATAAAGAGGGGGATAACGTATACTCAAAGAGCGGAAGCATTATAAAAGTTACAAAAAAACATTTAAATTTTCGACTAAGTATAAACGGAATTGAATGAGAACTTCAGATGGGCGTGGTACTATAAAGAAAAGAGCTAGTCTAACTTTAACTCGTAGAAATGGACGATAATTAAAACGAGGAGGTGTTGATTATTTAGTAGATAAAGTTGATAGAAACTTAATAGAGTATAATATTCGTCCTAGCTACGTTCAAAATGTCTGCTGCTACAAAAGTTTTTTAAAATTTAGAAACAACTACTTTTCGAATTATAATTTTCACGACTATGATTTCTATCTTGTCTTAAAGCTATAGTTTAGTTAATTTCTAAAGTCTGAACGATAATTTCAGTAATAAATTTTAAGAAAACTAATGCACGCGAACACTACCGTAATACTTAGAAATTCACACTTTATGGTTGGTAATAGCAAAGAGCTTCTATATAATACCGAATATTTTTTTATTGTAGGTCATGCTTGTGTCTACTTTAAAGCTGTTAAAATGCAAGACTGAAGAAAAAAAAAAATAAAATTTTAGTTTTTAAATTCTAAAAACAATTTAGTTAATTAACAAAGTCTACTTTATGCTCTTTTTAATGAACTTGTATCCGATAATTAAAACGCTCCTCTATATCTTCTCACCTTCTCTTAAATTTTTGAAAGGAAATGTTAAGAAAAAAATGAGCAAAGTCTAAAGACGTGTTTTTTTTTATTAATGACATCCCTTGGTGCTTGATCGGGTCATGAAAGTAGACACCGAATTTACGAGCTCTCAGCGGGGTGATACCTTACACATTAGCTTTAAGCTTGAGCTAAAGCAAACTCATGTATATATGCATGAGTTAAAAATAATTTTATCCCTAAGCCATGCCGAAATTTCCTAGTTGACCTCATCTGTCAGTAATCGATTGGTGCGGACTGAACCGACCGTAGGTTGCGATAGCAATACCTCGAAAACATTACCCAGAGGTCAACCTTAGGTCTTTGATAAGGCATCGTTGCGAACAACCACGGTGCGTCCGGCATAAGGCCTAGTAGCTTGTTTTGTCTCACTTGAAGCGAAGAGACTATTGCCGATGAGTGGTAGGCCCAGGCAGTAGATGTGTATGTCATCATCGGTCGGAAGCACAACAAATACAAGCGTCGTTGGTTGTGCAGTCAGAGTCTGCTTCAAGCACAAAGTAAAGGGTAAAGAGTTTGAACCGCCGCCTTACCATCGCCGCCATATAGTTTACATGCGGCATCCACGGGAGCTTAACGTCGGTAATGACCCAGGTTCTTCTCTTGGGAACACCAAGGCATTACCTTATTTTTAAAGGTCAGCGTCGGTAGAGCGCTTCTTTAAAATGAAAAGGGCTTCGCTCTATTCCGCATTAATAGTAATTTTTAAACGACGGCACCCAGTTGGTAAGCATCACTAGGTAGTACTGCAGATACTGGAGCAGTAGGGCGAATGATTTTTGCCAAAGAATAAATTGCTGTATCACTTCTATAAGGCAACCCGCTAGTGGAGGTCGTCAGGCTGTGGCAAGTTGCGCATGAAGTGCGAGGAGTAGGGGGGATACAAGAGATCCTTGTGGGGTTCCGAATGTTAGTGCTCTTAGGAATGGGTGCACGCACCCACGCCGTACACCAAAGAGGCGGTATCTAAGATAAAATTTGAGCTGGTTATCTTCTCCATGTGCGTTGGGTACCGTGGTACTAAATCGCACAATCCGCGCTCGTCGGTGTAAGGTTCGATTATTTAGCCCTCTGGGTAATCAACACATCTGTTCCAGGCAGGATGCTTGCAGTCAAGGTTCTCACGTACAATAACTGAGAAACCAGTTATAGAAAGGGGCAACAACATCTGAGGTATTAAGCGGTATGCTGGGGCACTTGTAAGCTCCACTCACAGAAAGAAGACCCCAGCTGATTAAGTGGAGGGAAACTCCAACTGACTCAATGTTACACAGGGCCAGTAAAGATATCACACTGTG